TGTATTGCGAAAGTTAACTGAAAAGATAAAGCCTACAACTTCCCTTTCTTTGGTACACTGTTTTCACATGGAAATTCACTGGCATGGAAGAATTTTTAGTTTTAACTTTTCTATGATTCGTTAAATGGGCTTCTTCTTGGTGTTAAAGGCACAAGGAACGTCACAAAAGAAAACCGTCTCCCAAGCCTATTGTTATCATTTTGTTTTCATTGTTTTCCTCATTTTGTTTTTTTGCTCCTAATTGTTTTCTCCTTTTGGTTACGTCAGCTGTGCCTTCTACACCAAGTAAAAGCCTTTAAGTGTATGTTTTACAATTTGTATTCTTTTCTAAACGTGCCTGATTTTGACACTCCAGCCTGTTACACTATTTTAAACTCTCGTTACTGTTTTCTCTGTCAGTAATATATTGCGTGTATATATACACCCTTTATAAACAAGCACTACAGGGCTTGTATGGCTTAAGTGCAACACATTTGTCCTGTTTAATCAGATAACTTTATGATTTTTCTAATATGTAGACCTCCACTTCTAGACAACAGTATATTATCTCAGTCACCTTTTCAACATTGTTTTCCTTGTAGCTGTTCCATGTTACTCCATCTGTAGAAAGATGCACTTTGTAGCTGGTGATCCAGTGAGAGCCTGCCCTTTGTCCTTGTGTCGCTACTGCACAAACAGAGTGCACTGCACCCATGTCAACTTGAAGATAGTCTGTTCTGTCTGCTGATGTCTTTGTACACCACCCTCCATTTGACCTGTTCTCATTTAGTCGGCCATAGTATGGATAATGATTTCCGCTATAAGATGTGCTTGCCGTCATTTTAACATCTGGTATTTTGTTCCTGTCTTCTACACCAACAGGTCCACATACTGACCAACAAGTAATAATAACAATCATCATCATCATCATCATCATCATCATCATCATCATTGTTATTAATAATGGGTTGTTCGAAAGCCGGTTAGCGCTAATTAACCCAGGATTAAAAGTTAAAAGAAGTAATAGATTTTTTTGTATAGGAATATCTTTCATTGCTTATGTGTAGTTTAAGGTGAATCAAACTCAAAACTGAAAGCCGAACAAAATAAAAAGAAAACTGGACCGAAAAGTTACAAAACTGAAATCAAAATTCTCTCTAATCCTGGGTAAGTTTGATAAGGGTTTGAACAACCCGGCCCTGGATATTTGAGACTGTGGTGACTTAATTATTTAGCAGTATTGGTACAATATTGGTTTATTGCAAGAGATATATGGAGAGACTGTTGCCAAGTTTAAATTTATATTACTCGAGTGAAATTAAGTGTCCTCAAGTCGCCTAAAATCGCCTTAAGTCCTCTAAAATCGCCTTAAGTCGCCTTAAGTCGGCTAAAATCGCCTTAAATCGCCTAAAGTCGCAATGTTTTTTTTTT